GCTTCTAGGTTTAAGTAGAAGGTGTCAAAGCGATATGACACAGAAGTTGAAGTTCGCTATGTTAACCATGGGTTCAGGCGAAGATAGCAAGTGTGAAGCGAGAATGGTCTTTCTCTTTAGGTTGGAATCAGGATCTATATCTATATGTTTTAAGCTTAAAGTCGTCTTGTTATCAATAGAAACTAGGAGTCTGCGCTCGCCCATCTCTTTTTATTGATTCTCGCTAAAGGATCGGGTACTTTGATTGGTATTAAAGTCAAGTGTTCTATTCCTTCGATCAAGTAACCCCAACCAGTGCAAGCGAGTGAACTAAACTACCGGCATGGGCGGATAGGCACATAACCTACTAATTCTAATCATGAATGGAATCGGTGCGCCTATCAACCGTAGGGATTGGGTGCGGGGCTAAGACCGGATGTGCAAGAGAGACTGGGCTTGGGTATACCAAATGATAGAAGGAAGCCTGACTTTACGCATAAATCCATTAAAAGAGATAGCCGATCGCATCTCTCTTTCTATTGATTGTAATTCAAAGTAAAGGTTCTATGCTAGAATAAGGGAAAATTACTCGACCATAGGGTGACGAAGGAAGCTTGTTAGAATTAGAAAAGGAAGTCACTGAATCAAGTCCCATTTGATAGTTAACCCCCATCATCCATCAATGGAGGAAGGCGTTAAGGTAACCTCAAAGCCAGTTGATGAAGGAAGGCATCTCACCAAGGCCTTAGCGCATGCTGCCCACATGAGCACAGAAAAAGGCCAATGCAATGAAGAGCCCTCATTCCCCAAATACCGAGTCCTAGCCGCCTCTGTATCTATGTCCCTGTGCTTCTAAGGTGATCAAGCCCACTTAGGAAGAGAAAGTCAGCGAATGGTTCCATGGCAACATCAATTGCATTAGGAAGAGCAAGTGCCTTCCATTTTTTCACCTTGGGGATCTTAGCCTGACCGGCCTGGCCTAATGCACCCCTTGGGCCTTGATCGATCCCAGGAGCTCCAGACAAGAATAAGGAATCTGAATGCCAGCCCTCTTAAACTGAAACTATCCCACATACAATAAGGAGATGTATACGATAGCGCTGACTTGGAGGCACTATTTGTTTGGGAAGGAGACGCTTTACGAATAGGCCACTCTGATCAACAAAGTCCTTCAGTATCTACAGATGCAGTCCAAGCTTCAGGGGGCGCGTCATATGAAGTGAGTTTCAGTTCCTGCAACGGTTCGAGTTGGTGATCAAGTACAAGAAAAGAAGGGCCAACGACGGTTACAGATTTTTTGTCCAGACCCCCCTTTTTCTATTTTTAGTAAAGCGTCGCAACTGCTTTTTTATCACTTTATTAGACTTCAGGGACTTTACGGCGGAGTACTCGGAAGGACGTCGAAAGGCGTCTGGGAGAAGACGACCCGACTGCAGACGGCAGATGGCGAAGAGCCGGGGCAAAGACCCTCTTTATTGGCTAGCGGGGCATGCCCTTCCGGCGTGGGTGTGCTGTCGACTATTGATTCAATTCCCGAAAACCTGACACCAGCAGTTTCTTCTGGGCATGTCCCTGAGACTCTTGAATCTTTCCCCGAGATGGCAGTAATGGTCTTTCTTATCGATTACAAGGCAGGCCGGAGGTCGACTACCCAGCAAAAAAGATTTTATATTATGCGCTTCTAAATATCTATCAAGACAAATGAGGCAATAGCGGCCTAAGGGAGATGAGAATGGGAGCTTTGAATAAACCTTTCAATGAGCAAAAATATGACATTGAATGCTTGAGTCGCTGATAGGGGAGCCCTTGTCTCTTTTGATTTGAAGACCTTTGCGCTTTCCCTTTGGCGGGCTATTCCTTATTTATGTCCGCGGATTCTCTTTCTTTATCATCATCCGCCCCTACTCGTCTTTGCCCTGCCATTTCCAGTCATTTACAATGCCAGTGATAAAATAATAAGGAAGCCGGCTCATCTTTGATTCTAATGTGCCAATTCCTCTCTTCAATGAAAGATTGATCCGTCACTTCCCGAAGAAAAGGACTCCTAGAGTGTGAACCCAGGATCCGAGATGTGGAAACATTTGCCGAATCTACATAGGCCGAAGCCTATAAATATAAAATATAAATTGAATATTCTTGCTCCATCCGGAATGAATTTACCACCTACCTTGGGATAAGTGGTTGCCGGAAGCTTGAGACTTGAATGGTAATGACTTGAACACCCGATTCTGGTATTAATATAACTTAAGAAGTTCATCCCGTGAGGTAATCTATACCCGTGCTATAAGGAATATAAAAACGGACTTGTATTTATCTTTTATAGGATACTGGAAATGAGACTACAGTCAGAGTCCGGGTGTAAGCTCAAGTAGTGGTAGCTCTTTGAATAACTAACTAGATCTTTCATTCCTACCCACTAAGTAAAGGAGTCCAGTCTGAGTAGCTGGATCATCGAAAGACTTCCATTAGTGAATCGTTATAGCATTTTGTATCGATAGCGCTTCTTTTTGAGGAGATTCCGTCTTTGATCCATGCTTGCGATCTCGGTTGTGAAATTTTCATTTTCTTTTGGCTTGGTAATGGTTTTCTTTTTCCTTAGGGAATGAATGTTGTTCCTTTGTTTCATCGCATAGAAGTTTAGTTTTGCCCAAGTCTGAAGATAGACATAGATATGAATCATCCGCTGTGGAAGGAGATGCGGCACTTGCCATTTCATCCCTAGCCTTCGTCTCGTATAGGACATTAGTTCAGGTCAGCCCCTTGGTATGCTAAGATCAGTATCACGCGTAGGTGAATCATTAAATGAAGAATTTGCCAATTTTTTTTTGAGTTATCGAGTGTAAATCAATGTTATGCCTTTTACTACACCACACCTGCTACCCACTTTCTTTGTTATTGGTTCAAAAAAGCCTAAACATTCCTTTTCTTATTCTTACTCTGCTTCATCCTATGGCTGCTCTTTAATATGTTCTAAAACCGCCAACCCTTGTTGTTACTTATTCATCGGCGGAGGATAGAGCTTTTCTTTTTCTGCTTTCCTATGATATGGATTTGGTTGATTCTCCTGTGGTATCGACTGCCTTTGTTCGGCTGAGACTTCCGCGTCTGCGGATTCTCTAGTAGCTGCTCTAGCGTCTGCTTCGTCGGGTGCTGAATCGGATGCTTTATCTGCGCGGTTTGAAACTCTTTGGAAAAGAAAATGCTTTGCCCAGGAATTCTAGGTTGAAAGCCCTCTCTGACCAAAACCAGGAACGAAAGTCTTGATCCTAGGCTTTGGAATAAATCAAAAGAGCCCGAGCCGAGTCAGGATACAACGCATAAGTATAAGCTGCTAAAGCATCAGGCAGGGCAAAGGTACTTTCCAGACCTGAATCTACAAAAGATAGAACCTAAATAAGAAGCCAGGGAGGCCTTATGGTAGAAAAAAGGTATGCAGGGGTTCTGGGTCTATTATAACCAGAAGGGGGGAGAACGGATTTTGGGACGTGTCTGTCCCCTTCTGGTTATAATAGCTGGTGAAATGTACGACCTCCAACTGAACCTAGCCCAAAAGAGTGTAAGCGAGGGATTAAAAACCTAGTTGATAACTTATAAAGTCAAGTAGAAAATCTTATTCTATTTGGATTCCCAACATGCAGAAGTACAAAACCAATTCACATAGAAACTAGAGTGAGTTGGATGGAACCTGATGATCTTCGAGGCCGAAGGGAGCTAGAGTGGAAGCTGGCGCGGAGTAGGAGCTCCAGCTCGCAAGCCACCACAATATAGGAAAAAGAATAAGCAAGAGGAGAAGGATGTGTCTCAGGTGCGGAGACCTGTTTAGAAGGTGAACCAGCAGAGTCAGATGCAACCGGGCATGAAGCAGCAAGTGCTGTAGATCTGGTATAACTTCTTCTCGGATATGTTTGGTTAAGTGAGGTGGCGCAACAAGCCGAACCACATGGGTCGAGTACAAAGCAACCAAATATCCGGACTTCGGAGTCGGAATCATAATTCAAAAAAGGTTTTTGTTCGCTCCGCAGGCACGAACTAGTCGAGATGTATGTGGTGCCCTTTCTTTCATTCACATTGATTGGTGAGGTTGCTTGATTGTAGGGGCCGGGAAAGGGTCTGCCACCACTGACTCAGATTTTTTTGTAATCGATGTAGCTTCGTCGTCTGTCTCGGGATCGGTAGTGTTCCCCCATTCCTTAGTCTTCGCTTAAAGGATGTTGATGTTTCTTTTATTTAAGATACAATCTGTAAGTAAGTTACCAAAACTTTTTGTGTTGTAGACGGCGAAGAGTCAATAGAAATAGAATAGGAATCCCTAGAGAAGAGAGTTCCCGAAAGGAGAAGGGGAATTGACCAGTTCTGGAATTCACAACTACAAAAATAACATCCAATTTTAGCGGCAACCAAAGCGACTTTTGAACCTTTCTTAAGCTCAGAGCAGAGTAGCTGGAAGTCAAGTAGAAGAATGAGTCTAGCGACCAGGAAGCATAGATAGCAAAGGCGGAGATGGTACTTTAACAGTCAAAGGAGGATCATATGCTTATAACATGCAATTTGAAATCACGTACTTACCCCGGGGTTGCCCCGAATCCACTAATCAAATAGGTAATGTTGGCGAATCTTCTGATTATCGAGTTTCAATTCGACAAGTACCAACAGGCCGAAAAAGACGAAAAAAAGGCCTTGCATACTCGAGAAGTCAATAGCAACCACTCTTACTTATGATATTCTTTACTTTCCTTGTTAAGGTCCCGCGGTAAAGTAAAAAAAAAGCTATAAGTAGGCTCGCTATTGCGAGCTATACGAGCTGTTTGCCTTTATACGGCTTCGCTATAGCTCCTATGAAGTGGTGGGCGCCTTCTAGAAGCTTCGCCAGAAGCAAGATGAGGTCGCTCTCCTGCTCGTTCCGTACTTGACTTACGAGCTCGTGTAGTACTCGCCCCTATCTCTAAAGGGGCTTATGCACTCCACTCGCTGTCTACTAAACGAGCGTTAGAGCGAGCGAAGCCTTCCTTTTAGTTCCCCCCTTATCCCTCACCCTACTCTTTCATTTCCGCTTAAGCTTCCCCTGTTTGTGGGATTAATTGATTGGATACCCGAGAACCATAATCTTTACTAGGAACAGCTTCTACGACGATAGGCGTAAAGGCATGATTAGTTCCACAAATCTCACTGCACTGACCATAGTAAACCCCTTCTCGTTGTACCGAAATAGAGATCTGATTTAAACGACCAGGTACAGCATCACATTTGACACCTAAGGAAGGTACAGCCCAACTATGAGGTACATCAGCAGGTGTTACAATAATACGTATATGAGTTTTGGCTGGTACAACCACTCTATTGTCCACTTCTAATAAACGTGATTGACCCAATTCTAGATCATCTTCTGGAATCGTATAACTGTCAAAAGTGAGTGACTGTTCATCGGAACTGTTATAGTCTGAATACTCATAAGTCCGATACCATTGATGTCCAATAGCTTTGATAGTAATGGCTGGATCTACTACTACCTCGTCCATTGAGTATAACAGAGCAAATGATGGTATAGCAATGAACATCGGGATGATACTAGGAAATATGGTCCGAAGAATCTCGATAGTAGTTCCATGAACAATCCTTTGCGGGATTGGATTTTTTTGATAGTGGAAATGCCATAAAGCGCGAACCAAGATCCGTGATACGAAAACCAAAATCAGAATGAGGAAGAAAAAGATATCGTGATGTAAGTCTATTATTCCTTGCATCATAGGTGTTGCTGCGTCTTGAAATCCTAATTGCCATGGTTCCGCTGCATCACAAGAAGCTAAAGTATAAATAAGTTTGAAAGCCAGATAGGCGAGAATGAAGACTTTACAAAAATGCCCAACCTTTTCCTTTTTTAACCATTCGAATGCTTTTTTTAGGGATTCCATTTTCTTTTTTTCTTTCTTTTCTTGTTTCCGCTCCCCCCAAAAATGAAGAAAGACTTGTCGGAAATCGCCTTGCCTGAACGGTTCACTTCTCCTTTCTAGAAATGAATTCATTCTATTGAGTTGTGGTTGGTTGTTGACCAACAAACAGAAAGCATGGGAGAAAGAAAGATGCACAAACAAACGAAACTGGAAACAAGGAAGGTAGAAGGAGCTATATCAACTACCTAGACCGACCTGCTATAAAAATTCCATAAACACCTAGCAAAGATACTGTACTGAATGACTGGATCGATCGTACTAGATAGAGAGTCTCAGATAGACAACCTTTCATACGCAATTCCTCGATCCAATCTCGCAGGTCTGATCGCACCTTAGATCAAGTTGTAACCGAAGTAGACCAAGAAGGGAGTGGAATGATGATGACCGGGCACTCTCTTGGATCTCTTTTCTACGCTCAGATCCACCACTCTCCTGTTGGCTACCTTGTTACGTCCTCTCCCCTCAGATAGGGAACCTCGCTAACCTTCTCGGCCAGCTACTCTAACCCTAACCACTGGGATCCCCTCCTGCCGGACTACCTGTCCATTCATTAATGGAATGCCTGAAGGGCAGAGACTTGAGTCAAGATAGACTTGTTTTCTTTTTCTTGAGTCCTCTCGCCTGAAACCGGCCTTCAACTGCGGAAACTGTTATTGCGGCTGTGGCTGGTAGAGAAGGTGAGAACCACCAGTAGGTCGATCCTCGCCCGTTATCTCCTAATCTTCCTAGGTTCCAACCATTTTTATATTCGTCACTAATCCTGTTGACCTTGCTCGGTGTGTTATATTAACATTTTCTTTGTCTTATACTCGGTTCGATTGACGTTTTTCGTGAAAGTGGGTTTGTATCTAGGGAGTCGAGCCCTATGTTCTTTTTTACTTAAGATTGGGTGATCCGGTGGTCTGGCCTTGGCCATTGTTTTTGCTGTGCGATCCCTCCTAACTGCCGAGGACATGCCCTCTCTGTGGAGGCAAAACGTCCTGCCCTCGTCTTTCTCACATCAATCAGACTCAGATCAATGCCAATCCTGTGAGCATCTTCTTCGAACCTCGACTTTGAGTTCCTTTTATCAGCCACTCCTTTCTCTTTTTTTTTCTTCTGTGCTATTCAGTTAGCCCCCTCGTCCTATAGTGAACCTTTCCACTCTTCTCCTTCTTGCTAAAGATCTGGCAGAAAGGTTTAACCAAGGAAGTCTAAACAGGTAATAAGGTTTGAAGAGCTCACTCGTTAGAGAGTGAGGAGCAGGGATGATTTGAAATCTTGTTTTCACACCAACCCAATCTCTATAAAGAAAAGAAAACTATAGGATCCAGGTTAGTTTCCCAATCCAACGGATCGTAACCTTGGGGCGACCTCCTAACTAAGGTTATCATAGATAAGGGGAGCACGCCGGTCCCCCCACTGTGCTGGCTAGTTAGTAAACTAGGATGTTGCTGAGCAAACTAGCCAGGTAATGGTCACTTTCACAATCATCCTTTCATGGTCTTGTCTTGGAAGCAAGTTGCCCGAACGTAGCAACAACCGTTTACACGCCATAGCTATTCTATTGGCTCGCCTTTCATCGCTACTCGGAACCTCTGGCTGAAATGAATGACTTCAAAGGGCCAATCTCAGGTAACAATTATGCTGATACTTTGGTAGCTAAACTCACCATGGAATGAGGGACCGTACTCGTCTTAGAGCTATTTCGACTTATTCAATTGAAAAAAGAGCACTTCCTTATCTTACCTAATCAAACCTGATTAGCCGCATCGGGAAATCTAGGGGTTTATCGGTCAAGGTATTCAATCTCTTTTTTCGGAGTTTTCCGGGTTAAGTTAGGAGGGCTAAGGACAGGGAGAAAGAACGGCCAGGGGAAGAAGGAAGGTTGGATAAGTGTATGGAAAAGGGACATCGTTCTTTCGAGTGTACTCGCCGGAGACGGGCTGTCGAAGCCGCTGATGCTTGACAGCGCCTCAAAACCCCCGGAATGCCCTGGAGGGGGCCTTTGGTAAGAACATCACCAAAATGTGGCGTTTCCAACACTGACTTTGAGGGGCGCATGGAGCACCACCAACTCTATCAACCTCTTTTCTTAGACGATAGGTGAGACTGAATTTTAGATTCATAAACAAACTTACCCGTTGAAGCACAGGAGCGAAATGGATAGAATTCATTAACTATCATACGACGCGATGGGACTCAAGCTTTAAGTGAGAGGGGTGCCCTTACGTTACGGCGTTTAGCTGCTTCAAAGCAACCTGTTTTCGATATCTCGGACTGATCCTTATATAGACGAACATATACGCTAGCCACGAGCTGTAGTAGTAAGCAAGAGGTTGACCAGTGTGAAAAGTCAAACTGGATCCCATCCGATTAGGTGAAGCTCCCTTGTCTTGTACAGAAGCTGGAACCTCGCCTACCTTAGGAGTCAAATAAGATAAAAGCTCGTCAATCTCCCACTGAATTCTCATCTCATAATGGAAGAAATTGGATAAAGAAATCCTCTCTCAGTCATAAAGAGAGGGCTGGCTAATGCTATCCATTCCAGTGGAAAGGGGTAAGGGCGATTTCAATTGCATCACCTCAGAGATTCTTTCTTATTAGAGAGAATAGCTTGTAAGCACATCAGCTAGTCTGAAGCCCTTGTCTTTCTAGTCTCTTCTTTCGATACTCATAAAGTCCTTCTCTTTGAAAAGGACAGAAGAAGAAGTACTCAGTCATACTCTTTGATTTATACGAGTAGGAGATTCGATCTTGGGCATCTTACGGATGTGGAGTCAGAGGATAGCCTTTTTGATTCATCCCTTGCCGCCATACCTAGTGAAAGTAAGTCATCAGTCAGTAGCGAGCCGAGCCTATTAGCAATTTTAGCCAAGGACCGATCTCTATCTCTTATATATTCAAGGCTATTTCTTTTATCAGACTGAAGGTGCCTCACACGTCCTACTCCATCATGGGGAGTTGGCTAAATAACTCCGTAAGCTCCTTTAATAACTAGAGTGATCGTCCCTCTTGAAAAGAGAGTGATAGTGATGAGCGATTCCTTTGTCCCAATTAATAGGCTTCCCTTAGCGCCTTAGCGCATAGGGACAGACAGGTAAGTGGACATCTATTCTATTAGCTCACTCCTAAGCATAAACCAAGAACTAGACTAATTGTCCCTCGTCAAGAGAGTGACCTGACCTTATTTCTGAGCTGCCGAGAATCCTTCTAACTCTTTTTTGAAAGTCAAGAATGTGAAAACCGAGGCC